TATTACAAGCACTTCCTGTATCTGTTTGCCTCTTTAAGAAGAATCACTTTATGTATCCCCAAATTGTAAGTCGCTTTGGATAAAAGCGTCTGCAAAATGACTAAATGTAAATGTAAATGTAAGAACAGACTGCATTTACTTGAATTCATTCTCCTAATAAGCAAGCAAGACATAAATATTAGCAAGCTAGTGTAATTACCTTTAAATTAAATGGAAGTCTGAATCATTTCTTACCAGAAGCAATCCGGGTTAGATCAACAACCAAAAACATTACAGCAAAAGGTTCAGTGCATGTTATGCTAAAGCAAAAATAAATGTAATCTTTAATAAAAAATACAATAATTTTCTTCACCTCAAGCAATATTCTTATTTTTCAAGCCCTCCCCTCCAATCACCTGTTATATTAAAAGACTTTTCACCATCTAATCAATTCCATATGGATACAATTAAGTCCTGCTTTCTTTTCTCACTGAATACATCAAATCACAGAAATAAAATAAGTTGCGAAGAGCTTTTGCGAAGAGAGAAGAGGCTGTTTGGGAGCACACAACCTTCTCGTCGTTCTCTATCCAAATTTGGTTCTGTTTTGTCTGGGTTTCTCTTCTTCAAGGGTCAATGCTAACAGTTCTGTCATCACCACTGCGCTCTAACCGCTCTCTGTTAACAGCATAGCTTTGTGTCTGCCCTCTTCAGCACTGGCACAGAATAAATCAGTTGGCTAAGGCAGATGTTCTGCCCGTCTCTTTATCGTCTCCTTCCGGCCTTTGAAGTCAGGTGCCACTTTATCTGGAGAGTCTTGCCATGTCCAGAAATGAAGAGAGCGGCGCTGTGACTGAAGGAAGAGCTTGGGTGAGCCGGTGGAGTAAGTGAGCCGCTGGCAAGGGGAATGTAAACAGTCTGACAGCTGCGGTTTGAGTTGACGGGCGAGAGTGGTGGAAAACAGAAGTGGATGTTTTCGTCACAGAGTGAGCATTAGCAGAACGTGAGCGGGCTTTTCGTGGCCTACCGTGTGTGCTGACGCGGTAACTGTTGACGTTTCTGAGGGTCTGGAAGATTTCCCTCGCTATCTCTGTTTTAGTTGGACTTACGAACAACTGTTGAAAATAAGATTAGACCTTGGATAAGAGCACATGTGCCCAAATGTCAGACACATTAAACAATTCATGCCCTAATTTACAGTATATCCCCGAGAGTGACTCATACCAGCTGTTCGTTTTCATTGCTTCTTTATTTAAGTGTTTAAGTTCACCGTTGCCATGACTAGAGGTCGACCGATGTATCGGTTTTGCCGATTAATCGGCACCGATAGTTGATTGCTGGAACTATCGGTTATCGACAAAAATCCATGCCGATAGTTTTCCGGGTTGCGTCCATTGCT